TTCCTCAAAGCAGTCTGAACTCCATCCATGCAGAACTTCAGGTCCAAGATATCGTCAGCTCTCTGAATAGCTTGATAGAGGCGGTTCTGCAAAAAGACTTGGTGCTCAGCAACAATGTCCTATTTCAAAAACATCTCTTCAGAAGATAGAAAGATTCAGGGACTAAATCTGGCTAACCATAGGTCCTTTTCAGTTCTCACTGGGAAATTAAAAACACTACCACTCACAAACTGTTATTGCTAATGATCAAGACCACTGACAAGTAGCATGCAATTTAATTTATGTGATCAGATCATTCAACTAATGGAAGCAAGAATGGGGATAATCCATATTTTCTTTCCTTTTTTTTTTTTTAAAGCTGTTCACACCAAGCAAACAGGTTTTATTTTTTATATTTTCATCTACTGACTTGTAGAGAAAGAGAGGAAGGGGAAGAGAGAGAGAGAGAGAGAGAGAGAGAGAGAGGGAGAGAGAGAAGTGATTTGTTGTTTCACCTATTTATGCATTCATTGGTTGATTCTTGTATGTACCCTGACCAGGGATTGAACCTGCAACCTTAGTGTATGGGACAAGGCCCTAACCAACTGAGCTACCCAGCCAGGTGATAATCCATGTTTATATCTGGCTTACATTTGACATTTTTGAAATGTGACATTGTAAACCAAGTTATAAAGTAAATGAAAAATGTAGAAACTAATTTTCTAGTAGAATGAGCAAGAATGTTTAATAGTAACCTTTAATATGGGAGTTGGTGGCTATGTGGCTTAGCTTTGTGGTAAGTTATGTTTAGAGAATCTGAACACACAGATCAGGAAAAGTTATACTATTTCACAGGGCAAATCAAGGCTGGGAATGATTTGTTCAAGAGCACAGACTCCGCTATTCTTTCAATACAGAAGCCACTAACCACAGAACTTGAAATGTGGCTAGTCCAAATTAAGCTGTGTATGTATAAAATATACACTGGATTTAAAATATCTGATTATAATTTTATGGAAATTACATATTTAAATGGTATGGATATAATGAGTTAAATAAAACATATTTCAAAAATGATTTTCACCTATTTCTGTTTTACTTTTCAAAAATGGCTACTAGAAAATTTTAAAGTCCATATGTGGTTGGTATTAAATATCTTCTTTTCTAATCATTTTTATTTAATTTTCTTGTCTAATTGCCTGGCTAGAACCTCCAGTGTGATGGTAAAGAGAAGCAGCAAGAGGTGACATCTTTGTTTTGTTTCTAATCTGACGGGGAAAGCAACCAGTCTTTTACCAATAAGTATATTATCTTTGGTTTTTCATAGATGCCCTTTATCAGGCTGAGGCAGTTCCTTTCTATTCCAAGTATTTTGAGTGTTTTGATACGGGGTGTTAAAATTTTGTAAAATACTTTTTTTAGTCTATAAGATGATCATGTGTATTTTGTCTTTTCCTATTGATATATTACATTAATTTTCATATGTGAAATCCACCCTCCAATCCTGAGATAAATCCCACTTGCACATAGTATGGTCCTTTTTATATGTTGCTGGATTCTGTTTGCTAATGTTGTTGAGAATGTCTGTCTATGTTCATAAGAGCAATTGGTCTGGAGTTGTTTTCTTTTGTTATGATATCTTTGTCTGGTTTTGGTACCTTACATTAGATTTCTGTTGGCTAGTGCTGCTCTAATTTCTAGTGTGGTGGCTTTTCTACTGTCTTCTACTAACTCAAACATCAACACCAGAACGGGATTACCTTAGCCAGGTCAAGCTGACGAACTTTGCTGGACACATTCTCAGCGAGGCTGCAGGTAAAGGTGATCATTCCAGCTAGCTGCTTTGCATCACCTTCAATCAACTGCAGGTTGGGACTGGAGATCCACATTGTCAGCACACATGCATGCACAGGGGCAGAAGGCAGTAGTAAAAGATGGGAAAAATCTTTTTGAGGATGGAGACCAGGTCTTTCTACTTCTTTTGTACCTCCCCACAATTCTTAGCTTAAATCACTCTACTAACAGTTTTTCCCCCAAGCGTGTTTTACTGTAAACTCAGGCCTATACTTTAAAGACACCCTTAAATAGGTACTGTCAAAGAATGAGAGAACAGATCCTCCCAACTGTTTTTTTTCTCTCTTTATTTTCCCCATCACATTTATCTCCCCTATACCCTCTTCAAGTGAGCATAAAATGTATTAACCAACAATCTGAGAGGATGTTATCAAAGAGCAATTTTTATGACTACACAACGTTTGTAACAACAGTTCTCAAACTTGAGCCACGCACCAGAGCCTCCTGGTACGCTTACTGAAAAACAGATTCCTGAACCCCCACCCGAGTTTCTGATTCAGTAGGTTTGGGGTGGGGCCCTAGAATTTGTATTTCCAACAAGTTTCCAAGTGATGTTGGTAATGTTGGTACTGCTGGTCAAGGGCACTCTGAAAACCCTTGAGTGTCCACTTTTCCTTGAAGTAATGCTCCTGTTTCACACCCAACTGGCATTTTGTAACAGAGAGGAAACATAACGTATCCAGTGGACCCTGTTGTAGAGTAACTCCTGGGAGATGGAGACTCACCCCATCCGATGGAGAGCGACCATTTTACTTTCAATGCTGTTTTGCTGTTCCAGAAGAGCATCCAGCTCTCTTTCCACCACTTTCTGAAACACAAGAAGCATCCTGTCATTGGGATGCTCAGAAGGAATCCCAAGTTACCTAACCCAAACCCTTAGCGGAAGGATGAAAGCCATTTCAAATGTCTTCTTTCCTCCCACACGACTCTTCCAGGATATTAACAAACAACACTTAATTTTTGCAATGACCACACTGCATAGTGATTATTATGTATATCTTATTTCATCTAATAGATGAACACCACAAAGGCGAAAACAAACCTTTACTCAATGTCGGTAGCATAGTGCCTAACACAGGAAAGTCTTTAAAACAGCGGTTCTCAACCTGTGGGTCGCAACCCCTTTGGGGGTCGAATGACCCTTTCACAGGGGTCGGCCTAAGACCATCGGAAAACACATATATAATTACATATTGTTTTTGTGATTAATCACTATGCTTTAATTATGTTCAATTTGTAACAATGAACATACATCCTGCATATCAGATATTTACATTACGATCCATAACAGTAGCAAAATGACAGTGATGAAGTAGCAACGAAAATAATTTTATGGTTGGGGGGTCACCACAACATGAGGAACTGTATTAAAGGGTCGCGGCATTAGGGAGGTTGAGAACCACTGCTTTAAAATATAATGGCTACACCAACGCAACTTCCAAAGGGGCAGTCACAAAAAGCCTCTTCTTAGCGTGTAATTCTTCCTCAGCCACGCCACTTCCTGCATTGCCTCAATTAACGTAACCTTTTTATGCTTGAGTCTCCTCTCCCTAAAATAGGAATAGGAATACATATCTCACGGGACTGTTGTGGGAGCCAAACGAGGTATCACACATAAAGTGCGCGGCTTATGGATCAATAACAGCTATTCCTAGCAGCCATGCATGTCTGTGAGAACAGTCCAGCAGGACTGAGACGGAAATTCCACCTTGACAGTGATCACATACAAAGTCAGCACCAACACTACTGTTCCGCCTGCAAGACTGACTTTAATTTTCTCCCAAAGAATCGACTGCCCCGATGAATGCAAGCTGAGGAACGTGACGTCAAGAGCGCTTACATTTCCTACAGCGCGCCTTGCTGAAAAACCTACCCGAAACTGCTGGAGCTGGTGCAAGCTAACGCTCGAACATACTAAGATGTCAACGACTGCTCCCTCCACTACCCGCCGAGGCTGGACCCGCCTTCTGTGCGCAGCCTTATTTACAATACGTTTGGTTTTAGGGAACAGCTACTCAATTGTTAGATCAGGGCTTTAAATCTTTTTTTCTTTTGACTGGCACGGCACCCAGCTGACTTTCAGAAATGCACTGACAGCATCAGGTTGCCACAGGCAAGGGAGAGGCCGAAAGGAGGTGAAACGCCGCGAGCTGGAAGGGATCCTGGCGGGATCGAGGCCACGCCCCTCACCTGGCCAGCCGCCGGGGGTGCCAGAGCGGAAGCGGCTTGTCCAAAACCTCAAGCTTCTACCAAGCTCTGCATGAAACGCTAAAATTACACCCCCCACCCCCCAATCATTTTTCTGCAAGAGGAAGTTTTAAAACGCTTCCCCTTTATTTGCAAATGACCGCAGGCTTCAATGCGATAACAGGGTGAAAGCATGTCATGGTTAAGCGAATGCAAGACAACCTTGATTCTTATTTTGAGAACCAGGCGGATTGGCACAGACTCTCAATCTAACTTGCATCCCGCGGAGAGCAGGAGGCACCTCGTTTTAAAGGGAAATCAATGGGGGGTGGGGCGGTTCGCCCAGATAACAGGGAGAGCAAGCTTGGGGCATCAGACTGAGTGGAGGGAGATGGCAGGTCCCGAGAACCACTCAGCGACGTTCCTGCTTCTCCAGTAGGTGCTTTTTCTGTTTCCCTCGGCAAGGAGAGAGCTTCCCACAGCCCAGATTTCCCGACTGACGGCTCCTACGCCCACTCCCCCTGGATGCTCCAGGAAAAAGGCTCGGCCCTCCCACCTCCTCGCCGCAGAGCCGTTCGTACACAGCCTCCAGCTCTTGCAGCTCCGTCAGGGAGCGAATGAGCTCGGTGGAGATTTCGGAGCAACGGCCTCCTCCCACTCCCTCAGGCGGCGGAGGCGCCCCTAACAGCTTCTGAGGGGAACTGAGGTCCGCCATCTTGGTTCCGAGTCCGTGTTTCCGGCCCCGCGAGGCCCCTCTCCTCGTTGGCGCGCGGGTGTTTGGGGCTGCCTACGGAAGTGCCCGAGAAACTGATTTTTAAAAAATGTTTACTTTAAAAAGTCTTTTCATGTTCTAGTCTTCTGGAAAAAGCGACAGGCATAAGGTATGTTGAAATAATTTTCAGTACGGGGTGGCTGCAAGACCGATGCGTTAAAAAAATATATATATACATCCTTCAGGCGCCGGGGGGGCCTTTTTCCACCGCGCGCTAACCGGAAGGTCCTCATCTTGAGAGCTAATGGCGGCTGCCGGCGTGTCGGCGTTGGCGGTGGCTTAGGCCTTGAAGGAACTCTGCATCCGTTGGATATCTACACCATCTTCCCGGCTGCAGGGTAAAGAAGCAGCCCCCCCGTCTCCCCCCGGCCCACAGAGGCGTAGAGCGGCCATATAGCAGTGTGCGCCGGTTTTCGGTGCGGCAGCCGAGGTCAGGGGATTCGGGCAAGAAACGAGAGGTCGACAGGAACGCTTGGGACGTGAAAACGGCTGCCAGGAATTTTTCCCTGTTTCTGTCTACAAGGTGGGCAAGAGACCTGGCTAAAAATAAGCCTGTAGGGATTGCCTAGCTTTTAGGCCCTGGTGCTCTTCGGGTTTGGGGGAGCTGTGAGGAAGGGCGGGAGGGAGGTCTCCTGGAGACAGTAAAACAGCACTTATGCGCGAAGGTGGGGGAAGAAACACCCTAACGTGCTGAAAAGAGTAAATAACGGAAACAGTCTTCGGAGCGAAGACCTTGTTTTGAATTGCATTTGGGCACTTGGTCAGCGTGTTTCCTCCCCTGATCCTCAGTTTTTATCATTTGCAAAATGGGCAATGGTGTCGACCTGGAATACTGCGGCGTTGAAGTGCGGCGGCGTTCGTTCGGCACGTGAGAAGGGATGGAGGGAGCGATTAATTGCAGGCTGTTTTTCTAGTAATCAGACAGGAGAGGTGCGGGAAGTCACAACATTTACCGGGTTTTCGCCCGGGATGGTTCCTGGTGCGTGGTTATTGCAGTTGTAGGCTGATCTTCCCCCGAAATGCACCTTTCTCCATCCCCCAGGGGAAGGCATAGGTTTGGGGGAAGTGAATCCCAAGGACCGGAACGATGGGGTCAGTTACAAAGGAACTGGAGAGTAGGCCGGTTCTTCATCTAAAAATGAAAAGCAGCCTGGAGGGAGCATTTCGGGGGATCAAAAGTGGTCCGTGATTTCCACCGCCGGTTAAAACAACAACAACACAAAATCAATTTTTTACCTTTAATGTGGCTAATTTTATAGCATGGATCACGTTAACGATAACGTGATAGGGGTTTCATTATGAAATTTGTTGTTGATACCTGCAACATTGAAATTGTTTCAATGAAGTTTTATGACTAGAGGAAGATGCCAGTGTGAACAGATACTTGAGTGTTTTTAAGATTTACGATTGCTACTTTTAAAAAATATATATATATATTTTTTAAATATATACTTTATTGATTTTTTACAGAGAGGAAGGGAGAGGAATAGAGAGTTAGAAACATCGATGAGAGAGAAACACCAATCAGCTGCCTCTTGCACACCCCCCACTGGGGATGTGACCGCAACCAAGGTACATGCCCTTGATCGGAATCGAACCCGGGACCCTTGAGTCTGCAGGCTGATGCTCTATCCACTGAGCCAAACCGGTCAGGGCTATTTTTTTTATTAATTTCATAGAGAAACATCAATGACTAGAGGCCGAGTGCATAATATTTGTGCATGGGAGCGGGGGGAAGGGCATCCCTCAGCCTGGCCTGTACCCTCTCGCAGTCCAGGACCTCTTGGGGAATATCCGCCTGCAAGAGGGCACAGGCCAGGCTGAGGGACCCCACTGGTGCACAAATCCGTGCACTGGGCCTCTAGTCCTATATAATAAAAGGCTAATATGCAAATTGTCCCCTCGACTGGGAGTTCGACCAGGGGGCGGGGCGGGCTGGCCAACCACCTGAGGCCCTTCCCCCTCACCAGGCTCCACCCTTGCACGAATCCATGCACCAGGCCTGTAGCTATATGTATAAAAGGCTAATATGCAAAGTGTCCCCTTGGGAGTTCGACCGCTCACTATGATGTGTGCTGACTACCAGGGAGCGGCGTGGAATGAAGGAAGGTCCCAGCCAGCAGCCAGGAAAGGGAGGCCCTGGCTGGCAGCCAGAAGGCCCCGATTGGCCTGATTGCCGGCCAGGCCTGGGGACCCTTCCCATGCACGAATTTTGTGCACCAGGCCTCTGGTATGGTGATAAAAACTCCCTTCATTGTACTCCTTTAGGGAGGCCTTCTGAAGTGGCAGGAATTTGATTTTGTTTTAGATTTAGTGATTTTAAATTCTAATCACTCCTAAGGCATAGAGCAATATAAGAGATGCAAGTGAGAACTACCCTAAGTAAGTTACTAATTTTTATATGTTAGATGATCACAGAGGTCTGGTTATAGTGAAATAGGGACTCATACATTTTTGGGAATTCAATTGGTGAGTTTTTTTGAAAGTTAATTGGCCACTAGTTATCCAATTTTCAGTTGTATGAATCCTTCAATCCAGCAATTTCACTTCTTTGAATTAATGGTAGAGATATATTCATGCACATATAAGTGACCTACATATGAGTGATTTTCTTTACAGCAGTGATCGTAATAGCAAGAGATTGGGAACAACCTAAATGTTTATCAGCAGGGTATTGGCTAAATGAATTCTAATATACCCATTCAGTGAAATACTCTGCAAGTGTAAAATAAAAACGAGAAAGCCCTTTTTAGTTATCTCCAACATAGATAAATTGCGGTATAATGTGAGTGTACAATATATAGTACTCAACCTTTACTTTTAAAAAATGAGATAAAATACGGTACATTTTTGCTTCATACACAAAATATTTGGAAGGACAGGATAGCTATAACTTCGTTGCTTTCCCCAGAGAGGAGAGCTGGATGGCTAGGGAATGGGAGAGTGGAGGGCTTTTTGCTGTGCTTTTGTGTTCTGAACCTTGTGGACACATACCCTATTCAACTACAAGTAAAAGTAGACCTACTTGGTTTCTGTGACAAAGAAAGCAAATACACGGTGTTGCATTAATGGTCCAGATCCTAGCTTCCAACATTTTTACCTCTTGTAATGTGACCTCGGATATATGATTTAATTTCTTAGCCTTAATTTCCTCACCTACAAAATGAGTTTTAATATTGAGTACTTTATAGGTTTCTGGTGAAATTAGAGGCAAAGAGTATATAGTGTCTGGTGAATAGAAGGCACTTTAATTGTGAATATATTGTTCCCCCATAGTCCTTACTGTACTCTTTCTGCTGCCTTCAGCCACAACTTCCTGTATAGAAATAAACAATTTCCCAGTTGATATTTTTCTGTTTTTGTGTGCTCTTAGCTTGCTTTGACTTGGTGTAATCAACGTGTGGATTGTGGAGTGGTGGGTTACTCAGTGGTGTTGTCACCATGTTCCTGTACAACTTGACGTTGCAGCGAGCCACTGGTATCAGCTTTGCCATTCATGGCAACTTCTCTGGTAAGTTGTCCAGTTACTATCTTTCTGAATATAGTATTTTTAATATGGCTAGTTTTATGCTTTATATTTTTTAGATTTGGAAATTTGTAATCATTAGAGAACATTAATTTCTAAAATGCTTTATAGCTTCCAAAGCACTTTGGAGTACTTTATTTTATCTGATACCCAAATGACCTTTGGCAAGTAAGGTGGCTCCTGATAAGTGGTGGCATTGAGCAATGAGAATGGATTGGGATGGGTAAGAGTGGGATATAAGATAGGATAGGAAGCCATTAAGATAGTGAAGACCTGACAGTGGGGATAGAAAGAAAGTAAAGGATGAGTTTCCAACCTCGGTGGCAGAGAAAATGATAGTAATATTAAAGCAGGTTAGTTGAGACCAAAGAGAGAGTTTGGGCAAAGAAGAACTTAGTTATTTTAAACATTTTGATTAAAGGTGATGACAACTCATCCAGGTGGAATTATGTTGACTATTATGCATTTGGAGGTATTGATAGCAGTTATGAAAGCAAGTGAACTTTTTTAGATGAGTTTAGAAAAAAACAGTATATTTTAGATGAGAGTTTTAAAAGTTCTTTGAGATTGCATTTGGGCACTTGGGCACCTGGTCCCCTCTACATCAAACTGCACAAAATAGTAATATGATTTCTTAGAACAATAGCCTTAAAGAGGGACTAGAAAGAGACTTTGGAAATTTTTAATCTTATGATGCTAAGCATACATTAATACCATTTATGGATAGTGCTCAGTTATGCAGATTGATGGCAAATGTTAGAAAAATAAAGTTTCTAAGAAGTAACTTGTGTAACCACTTAAAAAAAACATTTGATACCATTTTTGTTAGATCATATCAGTTTAAATGGAATAAATTAATTTCAAATACTGAGCCCCCAACCCATTTAATTATATCTGTGTTAAGTGGCATTTTGACTCATCCAGGTTACTTTTTAGAGTAGTTCTAATTTTTCATGATCTTTATTTTTTGGCAATCTAGGAACCAAACAACAGGAAATTGTTGTTTCTCGTGGGAAGATTTTGGAGCTGCTTCGCCCGGATCCCAACACTGGCAAAGTACACACCCTACTAACTGTGGAAGTATTTGGTGTTATTCGGTCACTCATGGCCTTTAGGCTGACAGGTGGCACCAAAGACTACATTGTGGTTGGCAGTGATTCGGGTCGGATTGTTATCCTGGAATACCAGCCGTCTAAGAATATGTTTGAGAAAATTCACCAAGAGACCTTTGGCAAGAGTGGATGCCGCCGTATTGTTCCTGGCCAGTTCTTAGCTGTGGATCCCAAAGGGCGAGCTGTTATGATTAGTGAGTGACTTGCTCTGTTGAATGCATCTCTGACTATTATAGATGCTCAGTTTAGGATAACAATGCTATAATCTTGGCAGTGTGCTAATAAGTCAAAACTGGGTAAAGTTTGGATCATATGTGGATTAACTCCATGGTTTAAAGTTGCTTTTCCTTTTAAAACATGGAGAAAGTCTTACCATACCTTATCTACTTCTGGTCTAATTGGAACTTCCTGCTTTTATATTTCTTGCTTTATCTGTAACAAAAAGATTACAATGAAATGATTTTATGTTCTTAGGCAATGAATATGGTTGTTTTCATCAGCCTGAAGTGATGATTCACATTCATGTCTCTTCTCTGACAAATCTCTTGAAGACAATTCTGTGTATCTGATCAGGCCTCTAGAGGGCAGCCCTCTCTGACCAGTCATAAAATCATTAGATCTAACTGGAAGAAGAAAGGTGGCAATTTTATGAATTATTGTTTAGTTTCCCAGTATCGTTAAATCTAGGGCACACTAAAAAATTTTGAAGAGTTAATGGGATATTATGATCCCTATTAGGAAGAAGATGGGTAAAATGATGCTGTTCTCTATTTTAATGATAGAAAGCAAATCCTAAGTTAGTATACTTGTAGATTTTGGGCTGGCTGTTAAAGATTTTTAAAAAAAATTCTGATGAGAACCTATCTGCTCTTTAAGCCCCTCTATTCATTACCTGGAAATCTTGTGTGTTTTGTCTTCTTCAACTACAGGTGCCATTGAAAAACAGAAATTGGTGTATATCTTAAACAGAGATGCTGCAGCCCGGCTTACCATCTCATCTCCCCTGGAGGCCCACAAGGCGAACACTTTAGTATATCATGTGGTTGGAGTAGATGTGGGATTTGAAAATCCAATGTTTGCTTGTCTGGAAATGGATTATGAGGTAATGGGGAGTGTGTGTGTGTGTCTGTGCCTTTTTTTTTTTTTAACCCCCAGTCACCTCAGAGCTTTCCTAAGGTTGTTTTTTCTTCATTGTTTGAATCTTCTATCCATGCTGCTAACAAATCTTTTCCATATTCCAAGTGCCTTACTGAAATTTGGAATGTTTCAGAGCTTACCTGATTATATAATAGTACTTAGCTCTGATTTGAATAATCTCCCTTTGGAAACAGGGTCTTTTTTTTTTTAACCCCCAGTCACCTCAGAGCTTTCCTAAGGTTGTTTTTTCTTCATTGTTTGAATCTTCTATCCATGCTGCTAACAAATCTTTTCCATATTCCAAGTGCCTTACTGAAATTTGGAATGTTTCAGAGCTTACCTGATTATATAATAGTACTTAGCTCTGATTTGAATAATCTCCCTTTGGAAACAGGGTATTTATTGAGAAAAACTGCCTGAAAAACGAGATAAAACTGTTTTGGGGGTATTTTTTTCCACAGAGAGATAGTGAAAGGTGGAAGGCAGTATCCTCTAGATGAGAGAACCTTGGGTCCAGAATTAGGAGACCTGTGTTCTTGTCCCAGCTTTACCATTGCCTAGTAGTGTGATGGCAAACCATTTAGCATCTATGGACTGTTGCTTCGTTGTTTGTAAAATGGAAGAATCCTGATGTCCTTTAAGAGTTTGATTTTATGGTACTGACTAGTCTTTGTGCCATTGTACTCCACTGTAGGAAGCAGACAATGATCCAACAGGGGAAGCAGCAGCTAACACCCAGCAGACGCTTACTTTCTATGAGTTAGACCTTGGTTTAAATCATGTGGTCCGAAAATACAGTGAACCTTTGGAGGAACATGGCAACTTCCTTATTACAGGTATTTTTCTCTCAGAGCTGCTCTGTACCATTTTGCCTGGTCCATTTTATGCCCAAACTTGGGAGGGTTTACTTAATAGGGTCTGGAAGCTAACTAATATATTTTATATATATTTTATTGATTTTTTACAGAGAGGAAGGGAGAGGGATAGAGAGCTAGAAACATCAATGAGAGAGAAACATCGATCAGCTGCCTTCTGCACACTCCCTACTGGGTATGTGCCTGCAACCAAGGTACATGCCCTTGACCGGAATCGAACCGGGGACCCTTGAGTCCGCAGGCCAATGCTCTATCCACTGAGCCAAACCAGTTAGGGCAGGAAGCTAACTTATTTATAGTAAACCTGAGTACCTTGTCTATGTTTGGTGTGGTGGTAGCTACACCAAAAGGATTCTAAGCAGGGGAATAATAACTTGGAGATTACAGGCATACCTTAGAGATAGTGCAGGTACAGTCCCAGGCCACCACAATAAAGCAAATGTGCAATAACGTGAGTCACATGAATTTGTTTTCCAGTGCATTTAAGTTTTGTTTAGCCCTGACCAGTTTGGCTCAGTGGATAGAGCGTTGGCCTGCGGACTGAAAGGTTCCAGGTTCGATTCCAGTCAAGGGCATGTACCTTGGTTGCGGGCACATCCCAGTAGGAGGTGTGCAGGAAGCAGCTGATCGATGTTTCTCTCTCATCGATGTTTCTAACTCTCTATCCCTCTCCCTTCCTCTCTGTAAAAAATCAATAAAATACATTAAAAAAAAATAAAATTTTTGTTTATAGTGTTTATTAAGTGTGTAGTGGTATGTCTAAACAGTGTATGCACCTTAATTAAAAATACTTTATTGTTCAAAACTTTATTGCTACAAAGTGTTAGCCATCATCTGAGCCTTTAGCAAATTGTAATCTTTTTGCTGGTGGAGAGGGTCTTGCCTTGATGTTGATTTAAACGCAATATCTGCACAGTGCAATAAAACGAGGTATTTGTACTTGCTTACATTTTGGCTAATGGAATGAAGGATATTGAGACTGTAGGCCAGGAGATTGGTCAGGAAGCTGTTTCACTAGAGTTTGGTAGCATGAGAGGTGCTAGGAGAGATTGTAATCAGTAGGATTGTGGGAGGAGAGAGAGTTGAAGGGTGGCAACCAGGTTTCTGGTTTGGCCTTTTTGTTGGTAGTATTTTCGAAAGTACAGAACCCAGGAGGTAGAATAGGTTTGGGAAAGAACTTGAGTTTGTGAACACATTGTATTTTGAAGGTGCCAGTGCAATATCCATGGTTGGATTATAGATCTAAAGCTGAGAACTCAGTTCTGGGCTTGGAGTTAAAAATTTAGATGTAGCAGCCATGTCAAATTCGGTGCCTGCCCGCCATGGCAGGCATTGGTCCAGAAGGCTGCCATAGAAACACTGTAGCACATGGGCCCTGGTCCCCTCTGCTGGGCCTCAGGGATAAATTTGGCTACAGACACCAAAAAAAAACCAAAAAAAAAAAACCCAAAAATTTAGATGTATTATCGGATATCTGAATAGGTTAAGTCACCCAAACTGGGCTCCATTTTTGTGTAGCATAACTTTCAGGGAAAAACTTGGAATGTTTCTCAGCTTTCGGCACACTGTACCCTCAGGTTGTGCTAAAGGAGAGAAGGAATTGAAAGCTAAATTCATGGTTATGTCAGATCATTGCTAAGTTTTATTTTCTCTGACAGTTCCAGGAGGGTCAGATGGTCCAAGTGGAGTGCTGATCTGCTCTGAAAACTATATCACCTACAAGAACTTTGGTGACCAGCCGGATATCCGCTGTCCAATTCCCAGGAGACGGGTAAGGTTTTGTTTGCCATAAGAGAAGAGATACTTGTGTTTGTGAAATGAACTTAATTTTTGTAATAATAGTGTAGTCTCTTAGTCTATCTGTTAATAAGTTTCAGTTTCTTTGTAAATGTTATTTTTAATAAAGCTGGTAAAATATGTTCGTAAAAAAAACAAAATCTCTGAGGAAGGGAATTAAAAACAAAAAGTTCCATTTTAGAGGAACCTGTGAACATGATCAATTTGAAATTTGTTTCTAGTTTGAAGAAGCCAGGCATATTTGTTGGAGATAAATTGTCTCTCATTCTGTTTATCTTTTCCCCCTATTCCAACATACAGAAAACTAAGACTAGGACAGTGTATTTCAGTATGCCTATCACTTTACCAGTTAATATTTTGCTGCATTTCCCTTTTCTTATGTTTGTGTGTGTGTATAAGTGTATGTGCATGCATACAAACTTTTTGACGCTAAATCATTTGAAGATAAGTTGCAGGCACCATGATACTTCACTACAAGAATCTAAGATGTGGCTCTTAAGAATGAGGACTTTTTTTTTTTTTGTCTAAAATTTTACATATGTCTCCTTTTTCCCTGCTTGATCCCCCCACCCCGCCAGCCATTCCCACCCTTGGCAAGCCCCCACTGCCCCAGTATCTGTGTCCATTGGTTATGCTAATATGCATGCATACAAGTCCTTTGGTTGCTCTCTAACCCCCCCTCCCCTGCCATTTGTCTCTGGATCTATTCTTGTTCATCAAATTATGTTGATCATTATATCCCACATATGAGTGAGATCATGTGATATATATCTTTCTCTGACTGGCTTATTTCGCTTAGCATAATGCTCTCCAGTTCCATCCATGCTGTTGCAAATGGTAAAAGTTCCTTCTTTTTTATAGTGCGGTGTAGTATTCTATTGTGTAGATGTACCACAGTTTTTTAATCCACTCATCTGCTGATGGGCACTTAGGTTGTTTTCAAATCTTAGCTATTGTAAATTGTGCTGCTATGAACCTAGGGATGCATATATCCTTTCTGATTGGTGTTTGGCTTCTTGGGAGGAGATTTTTTTTATATAACCAAACTACTGATATAATTTACTATTTTATGTAATATAACTAGAGGTCCAGTGCATGAAATTCGTGTACTCAGGGGGTCCCTCAGCCTGGCCTGCGACCTCTAGCAGTCCGGGAGCCCTTGGGGCAGTCAGACATCCTTAGCACTGCTGCAGAGGCGGGAGACCGCCACCACTGCTGTGCTCACCAGCCTTGAGCCTGGCTCAGGGCTTCTGGCTGAGTGGCGCTCCCCGTGTGGGAGTGCACTGGCCACCAGGGGGCAGCTCCTGTGTTGAATGTCTGCCCCCTGGTGACCAGTGCGCATCATAGTGACCAGTCGTTCTGCTGTTCGGTTAATTTGCATATTAGTCTTTTATTATATAGGATTATCTTATGTAAAGTTCAGTTTCTCTCATTGTTCTCCAAAATTCCCTTATAATCTACAGACTTTCAGTCTCCTTTAGTTTAGAATATTTTCCTCTCATTTTTGTTTGTTTTTGGTCTTTTAGGATGCTGATGTTTTTAAAAAGGCTGGGCTAGTTTTCTTGTAGTCTGTCCCATAATTTTTCCCTCATGATTATATCCAGGTTAATATTTTTGGTAGAATTATTCTGTAGGTAGTGCTATATATTTCCCACTAAGTCATGTTAATGTTAGGGGCACACAATGTTGGTTTGTCTCATTATTGGTGATGCTAAATCAATCATTTTGTTACGTTGGTGTGTCTCTGCTCTCTTAATCATAAAGGTGCCTTTTTCTTTTAATAATAATTGGTGTGGGATCTGGTGGTGAGCTTTGAGACTGTGCAAATGTCCTTTTCCTTAACATCTCACCCAGGGTTTTTTTTTCCTTAATCAGCTACTACTTTGGTGGTTGAAAATGGTGTTTTATTGCTCTTAATTTTAACGGTTTACTATGGAAATTATTAGGCATATAAAAAGGTAGAATATAATTAACTTCAGTAATTTTCAACACATAACTAATCTTGAATCATCTGATCTTCCTCAATCTCTCCTCTCAGCCTTGGATTAGTTATCTTTTTGATATTAACTTATAGATCCTGGAGTTAAATCTTTTAGGAGTTACTTTCTCTAATACATGGTATCTGAGTAAGAGTCCATCAATTTTAGAAAACCTGAGAAGAAACTTAGGAAGTTAAATTCTTGGTAAGGGGTAGAAAGTAATTTAGTTTGGTTGATGAGACATTTATTGAACATCCTACTGCAGGGCACTGTACTTGGCTTTGGGGCTACAAAGAAGTATAAAGCATGTTTTGCCCTTGAAGAGCTTATTTAATGAGAGAAATACAAAATATTGGAAACAAAAAATTCAAAAATCATAGCCAAGGGAATGCCTCTTAGGAATCAAGGGTTGATATGGAACAGCGCTGATTATGAATGGTTTGGATAGTAGTGGCGTAGATGTGGAAGAAATTTATTTATCCACAGCTGAAATGATTTTTTAAAGTTTGTGTCTCTTTTGTGACATTTTTCTTTGGAGGTAATTTTTTAAAAAAAAATCCTAACCGGGGGAGTGAGGATATTTTTTCCATTGATTTTTAAGCATGGAAGAGAGGGAGGAGAGAGAGGGAGGTGGGGGGAGAGAGAAGAGAGAAACATGGATGTGAGAGAGACACATCAATTGGTTGCCTTCCACACACACCCTGACCAGGGGCGGGATTGGCTTACAACCCAGGTACTCACCCTGGGCCAAGCTCTAACCACTGAGCATGCCAGCTAGGGCTGGAGATGGTTTTTGCCGTACTCAGCTAATTAGACTATAGAATGGAATTATGGCTATTTTTTCGTACCCAGGCTTTGTTATGTATTTATAGCAAACAAGAATTTTAGATGTTTTATTACCATAGGTAGCTGGCTGCTCTGGGTTAGAGGTTATATAGAGAGGCTCCAGGTGCCTCTAGGCCAGTGATGGCAAACCTTTTGAGCTCGGCGTGTCAGCATTTTGAAAAACCCTAACTTAACTCTGGTGCCGTGTCACATATAGAAATTTTTTGATATTTGCAACCATAGTAAAACAAAGATTTATATTTTTGATGTTTATTTTATATATTTAAATGCCATTTAACAAAGAAAAATCAACCAAAAAAATGAGTTCGCGTGTCACCTCTGACACGCGTGTCATAGGTTCACCGTCACTGCTCTAGGCCTTGGGTAGCTTGTATTCCAGCTGAAATACAGTATAAGTCCTCATTTCTAAGATGTTGGTTGTATATTTAATTTTGCTAGAATGACCTGGATGATCCTGAAAGAGGAATGATTTTTGTCTGCTCTGCCACCCATAAGACCAAATCGATGTTCTTCTTTTTGGCCCAAACAGAGCAGGGCGATATCTTCAAGATCACTTTGGAGACAGATGAAGATATGGTAAGCAGACCATGGTTAGAGGGGGAAAGACTAAAGTACTGTATTTTATTTGCTACTCTGCTTAGCTGTCTTATAATACTGGGCTCCCTTCCATGGCCTATCTTAGCTTCACTTACCTACACTAGAATTATTTTTCTTTTCATTCCAGGTTACCGAGATCCGGCTCAAGTATTTTGATACTGTGCCTGTTGCTGCTGCCATGTGTGTGCTTAAAACAGGCTTCCTTTTTGTAGCATCAGAATTCGGAAACCAGTGAGTAATCCTTTTATTCCCCTGGTTCACCCTGGTTACTGTAACAATTGCAGGAGGGAGAAGATGTGGCTCAAGGGCAGGGAGCTTTTCACAAGAATGTTTAGTTTCTTCAGAACAAAAGTTTTGCCCTCCTTTCCCTTTTACATTCTTTCTCTGATTTTCCCCTGCTTCAGTGGCTTTGATCTGTACCTGTGGGTGGCTGCATAGCTTTAGACGGGATCTCCTGAGCTTTTTGCTGGAATTAGTATTTATTGAAATACTTAGTATTAAAAGGATGTTCCGTAAACACTTTGTACAAATCTAAAGAGAAGAAAAAGGAAAGCCAGCATGGGGATGTATTATTGAGGTTCCTGCTGTGGGCAGTGGGAACTCACTTCCAGGAGCAGCAAGTAAGCAGAGTGCCTCTTAGACGGCCTATGTGAGGGTTAACCATTTGTACGCCACAAGCGTCTAGAGGCAAGCGGCGGACCTTTTTTAATCAAAATATCGTGGCAGTTAACTGGTTAAGAATACCAGGTCCTCTCTCTTCTGGGTTGAAAGTTACCCCTGGGGCATGAATTCCTCTATATTCTGTGGCTCGGGCAACCTTCCACAGGGTAGAGTTCTTAGGGCAGAGAGTAGGAAGAAAGACGACAGTATACAGGTGGGATGCTGTCAGAATGAGATGAATTTGATCTTGTGAGAAATTCATTGCTGTTGCAGCTGAAATTTGGAAGACTGAAGAGTGGTGATTTGGGATATTAGAAACATGTTGTGGTGTTAGCACATTTAATCCGTACAACAACCTATTTCTTAATCAGACACTAATTTAGCATTTGCTAATACGTTCCAAGCTATTTTAAGCACTTTACAAATATTAATGCATAGCATTCCCATTAAGACAGTGCCATTACCCATCACATTTATAGTTTGGGGAACTGCGTTACAGAGAATTTAAGAAATTTAATCACAGAACTAAATCTAACTCAAACCCAGACAGTCTGGTTCCAAAGTCTCAGTCTTAAGCATAGTGTAGTCTCAGAAATTGTTTTACTGCATTCAGCCAAAGCAGCCTTTCCTGTGATGAAGATAAACTCGCATTCTTTAGTTACTAGACACTGAAGATATCTCTGACAGGTGGTCTTTATCATCTGCATCTAGGCATCTTGCCTGAATAAGGAGTTCATATGAATTTTTGTGTTCTATTTTCCCTATGCTTTTTGTAAATTGTTCAAGGATAATAACCTTATTTGCTTTTTCATGGTTTAGCATAAAATCTGCTATGTTTACCAAAAGTTAAATGCTGAGGTTTATTGAGTATCTTATGTATTTCAGACACTGATTTAGTCATTCTGCTTCTAAAAAACTGTAATGGATATTGTTCAAAGTGCTCTGTATTAAAGGTTCGATATATTACTTAAAAGAACAAATATGACCAGTAGTTTGTTGTTTTGTTTTCATTGAGCTGCTTCCCTAATGCTCATTACATACTCAATTTATGATGGCAAATTGTTATAGATTATTCTCAAATTGCTTTTGGTTTTTTTTGTGGTTTGTCTTTGAATCAGTTCACTAATAAGCATTATTAGCCAGAGGACAGATTTTGTTGTTTACTATCTTTGGATACGTTTATATTTTGCTTGGTGAACAATACAATAATATCTGCATACTTCTGCAAGGTCACCAATTCTTGTTTTCAATAGATTTGGCCTGGTTTTCTATTAAATTGCCTGTGGGTTTTTTTTTTTTTTTTTTATTAAATTAGAATGGTTATAGATTTTCTTTGGATATCCTGTATCCATATTTCATCTTATTTGACCAACATGATGTTTCCTAGGTGCCATGCACTGTTGTAAGTACTCAGAATTCTTTAGGAAGGCACTATTATTTAATTTATATAAATGAGGCAATTGAGGCACGAGAAAATGAAGTACTAAGCCTGAGGTTATGTGGCTGTTGTTAAGGGCAGAGCTGGGATTCAAACCTAGGCACTCTAGTGGAAGCCCAATGCTTTCATTATACCGATTTGAATTCAATAGACTTAATTTTTTCATCCTTTTTCTATTCTTTAAAAAAAAAAAGAGAGAGAGAAAACTTTACTCAGATAAGCAGAGATTTCAAACTATAGATGTTGACTCAAAAGTTCATGTTATAATTTGGATTAGATATTTATAAAGTGCTTTTATGAACATTAATGTTGATGTCAAACATTATCTTTAGACAGAAAATGTTTTAACTAAAGTTTTCTTTGCTTCTCCCTAGTTACTTATATCAAATTGCACATCTTGGAGATGATGATGAAGAACCTGAGTTTTCATCTGCCATGCCTCTGGAAGAAGGAGACACGTTCTTCTTTCAGCCAAGACCACTCAAAAACCTTGTGCTGGTTGATGAGTTGGACAGCCTCTCTCCCATTTTGTTTTGCCAGGTATGGGTCTTTGCAGTCACCTCCACAATGAGCAGTGGCAGCCAATTGGTTTTGAATCTGAATGAGTTTAAAGTTTTAACTCCAATTAAATTAAGGGCTAGTCAAACACTGGGTTTGTCAGCATATCTGTGGAATCATCAGAGTTATATAGATATGGCAGCTTCAGGGACTAAAACCCATTATATAAATTCTTGGGCTTTTTGTTTGTTTAATTATAAAACTCAGATTCAGTATAAAAATTCAAACCATACAAAAGGCTAAAGTAAGTCTCCCCAATCTTAAAAAAACACACAAAAAAACCCTCCACGGAGGCTGTTGCTATTGACAACTTATGATTGCTCCCAGGCATTTGTCTCTGTGTCTATAAGCTTGCACACATACATAAAACAAATAAATGTGTGTATTATATTTTTCTTTTTAATGTAAACGGGCTCATATACTTTCAAGTATTCTGAAATTGATCTTTTATCACAACAGTTTATGAAATACCTATCTTTATCTAATTTTTAACATTCATTCCCTCCTTAAAATATTCCAGAGACATTGGGGTCAGTTAGTAACAAGAATTTTTTTATTAAAATTTTTTTTTAAATTTATTTTATTAGAGAGAGAAATATCGATTTGTTGTTCCACTTATTTATGCATTCATTGGTGGATTCTTTTTTTATTTTTATTTTTTATTTTATCATTGTCAGTTTTATTTTTTTAATTTTTTTATTGTTTTATTGCTTAAAGTATTACAAAGAGTATTACATATGTCTCCTTTTTCCCCCCGCCCCTGACAATCCCCTGGCCTCCCCTACCCCCCAGTGTCTTATGTCCATTGGTTATGCTTATATGCATGCATACAAGTCCTTCGGTTGATCTCTTACTCCCCTCCCTTCTGCCCCCCAACCCTCTCTGGCCTTCCCGCTGCAGTTTGACAATCAGTTTGAGGCAGCTCTGCCTCTGTATCTATTATTGTTCAAAAGTTTGTAATGGTCTTTATTATCCATGAATGAGTGAGATCATGTGGTATTTTTCCTTCATTGACTGGCTTATTTCACTTAGCATAATGCTCTCCAGCTCCATCCATGCCGTTGCAAATTGTAAGAGTTCCTTCTTTTTTACAGCAGCATAGTATTCCATCGTGTAGATGTACCACAGTTTTCTAATCCATTCATCTACTGATGGGCACTTAGGCTGTTTCCAGATCTTAGCTATGGTGAATTGTGCTGCTATGAACATATGGGTGCACATATCCTTTCTGATTGGTGTTTCTGGTTTCTTGGGATATATTCCTAGAAGTGGGATCACAGGGTCAAATGGGAGTTCCATTTTTAGTTTTTTGAGGAAACTCCATACTGTCTTCCATATAGTGGCTGCACTAGTCTGCATTCCCACCAGCACATTGGTTGATTCTTGTATGTGCCCTGACTGGAGATCAAACCCATAACTTTGGTATATCAGGATGATGCACTAATCAACTTGAGCTATCAGACCAGGCCCTAGTAATAGGAAGTTTAAAAAAAATTTTTTTATTGTATTTTAGAGAGAGAGGAGGGGAGAGAGAGAGAAACATCAAGGCAGCCCCCTGCTGGGGACAGCCCACAACCTGGGCATGGGCTCTAACCAGGAATTGAACTGTAACCACTCGGTGCATGGATCAACACTCAATCACTGAGTCACACTGGCCGGGCAACATCCTAAGGGAGGAACCTGAGGTGGCCCAGGATGTGGATTGCATCCTCTACTACTGGTGTTTGGTTGAGCAGGAATTTTCCCAGGCTTCTGTGTCCTGCATGGTTGGGGTTTGAGTGACTATAAGGGATCCCTTGCCCTGTCTAATTGATCATCTTTCTAGTGGGAGAGAGGCTTGTTCACTGGATGCTGGGGGAGCAAGTCAGCATTCAGGCACTCTTCCTGGTAAAATTGATCATTCTGAAATTAACTGCTTTTGTTTTTTATTTGATAAAGAGTCAGTCCTCTCAGGGCAATAGAAAATAAGCATTTTCTAATTTGATTTTTCTCCTTTCATTGAAATGTGAGGAAGTAATTGTGTAAATAGTTTGTAGATCAAGAATAAAATTAACAGGAAATTTGGGTATCTATAGGGGGCTATAAGCATTTTTGTGTAAGTTCACATAGTACTAGCATAGAGCCAAGATAGCAAAATATTTTTTAAGTTGTGAAAGAGTAATATATGTGCTTTTTAAAATTAAGCCTTTAAATAAGGTGGTGACTTTAAAATAGGTTAACTAATTATTTTTTAAGAGGTCAGTGTGAAAGCCATATACACTCAACTCACATGCTCATCCATGTTAAAATGGTGCAATGCCTTACAGACAGTCAAGAGTCTTCATTTAACTGTCCAATTTAACAAAACTACAATACAAATGACTGACCTCTTTTCACATATTGATCAACAAATAATTGTACTGGAAACGAGCAGCTAGATGTCTGGGATGCCAATACGGGACTATGGCTTCCCCAGTTGGTGTCGAACAACCAGGTGCAGAGCTGCCTATCACTTGGTCAGTGCATCTTAGGTGCAGAGCTAAGACAGGCATCTGTGATCAAATACAGTCTAACAATAGACATTAAATGCAATTTCAAAGTAGTGATGAAGGAAATAATTGGAGGTATCTATAAATCTTAATGTTATATGAATAAATGTGACCTACTGATGAGAAAGTCACAGATACTGGTAAGATTATAGTTTGTATTTTTATTTGGAAGCAAATGCTAAATTTTAGTTGGAGGCTATATAGCACTTCTATCACTAAGTAAAAAATTCCTTTGCTAACTTAACTGGCACAGCCTTTTTGTCGATTGGTAAAACCCGTTTTCCAACTGGTGTGCTTTTTGGAACATTCAGGCTTTTTCTTTCATGTCCTCAAGGCCAGTGGCTAATATATAAGCTTTATAAACTAAAAAGTGATTTGCTCAGTGAGAATAATCAGGGATCAGTGTGAAAACTTAGCACAAGTAGACTTTCTTTTTCCATGCAGATAGCTGATTTGGCAAATGAAGACACTCCACAGCTGTATGTGGCCTGTGGTCGGGGACCCCGGTCATCTCTGAGAGTCTTGAGGCATGGACTTGAGGTAAGATTGGAGTTTCTAGATCATCTGCAGGGTTTGGAAGGAAGCATTGAAAAATGTTTTCTTCCCTATTTCCATAAAGTTTAGAGTTTAAATTTCCTGTTCCTTAACATATTAGCACAACAGGCCACATTTTTAAAAAGTGGCAAATGAGCATAAAAGGGGAAGAACATATCTACTAGTTCCAGGCTCACTAGCCTTAACATGGAAATTAGGAAATCTGCATGGAACATTTTGCTCTTGGTCTTTATTCAGAGTTTCTAGATACTTAACGTTTTTTAATTCAGTTTTCAGATACTTAACATTTTCTATTATATTAATACTGTGTGTATGTAATATATATTTTCATTGATTTTTTTAGAGAGAGAGGACGGGAGACGGAGAGAAAGAAAAACTCATTGATCAGCTGCCTCCTGCATGCCCTATACTGGGGAAACAGCCCACAACCCGGGCATGTGCTCTGACTGGGCATCGAATAGCAGCCTCTTGGTGCATGGGTTGATGCTCAACCACAGTCACACCAGCCAGGCTACTGTGTATATATTTTTATATCTTATTAAATTTATTCCTTATTGCTATGTGCATTTAAGTCACATTATACTTAATTTTTTTGCACTTGTCCACCAAAGTGGGTGGATCATAATTTATTTAATGAACCCTTTATTGTTGGGCCTTGTAGGTGACATTCAAAACAATCTTCTCAAATCCCACATCTTATTTTCCTGATTCTAGTGTTGACCTTTTAGCAAATGCCCAGGACTTAGTAAAAATAAATCTTTCTTTATTTTTTGAAGTTTAATTATTTTTCAAAATTTAAACCTCGGAAGTCATATAGCAAAATGTGTTATATGTATGTGGATGTGTGTTATTTTTTAAATTTTGCATGTTTGATAAATTTAAAAATTCAAATGTTGAAACGACATTAGGAACATTTACTGACTAGAGCAAGGTTATGGCATAGTAGAGAAAGGGCCTTCAGAATATGCACCACTTTAAGGGATCTGAAGAAGAGCTGTGTCCATGAGCCACATAAAGAGAGCAGTAGTGTCATCACACGAAGAGCCAGCACAGCAGGACCCTCAGGGTCCAGAGAGACAGGCCTCAGTGGGCCCCACTCAGAAATCCTCTTGCCCTGGCTGTGCAGGTTGCCTCCTGTGGCATTTTCCTGAACTGCTCCCAGAGGAAGCAATGAAAATAAATCTTTCTGGGCAATTTGCTTTCAGAACTTGGGGTTGGCAAACTATAGGCCCCATGGCCTGTTTTTTTATAGATTTTTATTGGGACACAGCCAAGATGATCTTGGCTTTGAATTCTGGCTCTACTAGTTAATATCTATTTCTCAGCTTTTGTTCCCTCTTCTTTAAAAATGGGCTTAATGACACCTGCCTTAAAGGATTGATGTCTAAATTACATAAGATAATGCATTATAAAGCACTTAGCTCAAGGTCTGGCATGTAACTGTTCAGTTAATGTTAGCCGTTAATATTACTGTTCAAGGAATTTGACAAATTTTTGACTCAAAATATGCATCAATCCACCAAATTTTTAATGATCCAAACCCAACTTAGACAAATACTTATTGATTAGTTACTATTCAGTGGATTCTATCGAGCTTCTTGATGAAGGCTAGCATATATGTATTTACAGAAAATTTTGTGTACAGTGTACGAAATAAAGGACCCAAATTAAGAATTGTTTTTGAGTCCCCTGCCCCTATTACTTTTTTCCACTTCTACAGAAAAAAAAAGAAATCTTTTTTCCAGACACCTGGAACTAATACAAAGTAATATTGAATTTAAATTGTAATTGAAAAGTAAAATTGGAAAAAACTTCTGTTGTCTTTGTTATGTGTATTTGGAGCTTGTTGTATGGGTAGATTATGGTCTCATTAAGTTAAACAGTGTCATTGTCAGATATTACATTTGGTATAGAATGTAGTGTGTCTGATATTTACATTTAATTGATGAAGTTTTCCAGGATTCTCCTGTACTATGATCAGCTATTACCATATTAGTAAACGAAGGGGTAATGTCTTTCATGAATATACTTGAGTTCTTCCTACAAAATGTAGTTACACAATACAATATGTTAAGCTGTCTAATGTACTGTCTCTAGGTCATTTAAAAATATTAACAAAATTTTTATTTTAGGATGGTTTAGATTTACAAAACTTGTAAGGATAGTATAGAGAGTTCATGTATAAGCCACACCCAGTTTTCCATTCCAGATCATTTTGAGTTCACCTTAGATATTTTGTTTAATGTTGGAGAAACTGTAGGACATTCATAGGATTCTTGACTCTGACCTTAAGGAGCATAAAAATTCTGGGAAGGATAACATTTCCTCGGATCCCTTTTTGGAAAGGTACTTTAAGAGATGGTGATAGTGACTTTGTGAGAGCTTATAGGAAGTAGAGATGACTGCCAGCCAAGAGGCTAGGGAAGATTTTTCCTAAAGGATGTGGCATTTGAATTGGTCCATAAAGAGATGACATTTGGCTGTTGGGAGTTAGAAATGGAATACTAATAACTCAGATGGCCTGATTCATTTCCACATGCTCTCTTTGAGGAGGATGCAGGTATGCCATACCCAAAGGCAGTGTAGAGTTTTGGTGTAACAACTACCCTCCCAGCTGTTTCATCATTTCTTGCTAAAGTCTGTCATGGGTATTGCCAATATTTTTTACTTTTTTTTCTTATGTTCTTTTTTGACTAGATGGTTATATTATTTTAATTCACACAATGTGAGCACTGCTTTTGGTACTTTATTATCTAGTGTAGTTATAAGCAGGGAACTGAGTTCCATGCTCACTGGATCTGTGGTCTATCTCTTCTATCAGGTATCGGAAATGGCTGTCTCTGAACTTCCTGGTAACCCCAATGCTGTCTGGACAGTGCGCCGGCACATTGAAGGTAAGCAGCCCTTTCCCAACAGTCAAAATGAGGGTCTGGGTGCCATTGACAATAGAAGGTGTAAGAGGCTGCATTCATAATAGTTGTATGTCACTTCATCTAGCACCATATACTAGAAACTTTTCTGGCCTGATACTATGTTTTGAGGCTCTTCCAGTCTGGTTGCCTTCACCTACTACTTCTTGTAGAAATGGGTAAGGGGTCCATAGGGAGATTGTTAATATTCAGTACATTTTGGCATCATAGAGCCTTCATGTGTGATGTTCTTTGACTGTATTCACCTGTAAGACACTGGCTTCATCTGTGTAAGCGGTATGGTGTGAGGGAAAGGTTTTGCTTCATTTGTCTTCAACCATTTCTTCTATTGTGCTGAAACCACAGTGAAATTGATAGTTATCCTAGGTATTAGATTTGATAAAGCTTGTTAATTAGTCCTGCTTGTTGGGTGTAGTTGTGCTTAAGGAAAGCGGAAATTGATTGATTGGAATCAGAATTTTAGAATGAGTGGGAAAGGAATAGAGGAGAGATGGAATCTGAGCTCCTAGATAAAAATTCCCATTTTCCCTTTTATTTACTTTGAGTTCATTTCTATTCCTAGACCTCATTTCCCTCTTGTTCCCTTAGGACTGTACGACTAGTGAATAAGATCACCCTGGCCAGCGTACAAAGCTTTTTCAAGAAACAGCTGAATTTATTTCTGATACTTAGATGTTCTGGTTGTGTGGAACAAATTTAAGGGAAATAGGAAATGTGTAGGAAGGAAACCTTTTTCTATTAGCAGAAAACACATTTTGGTGGATTTTGTTTTTATGTTGGCATTGGAATCAAGTCTGAGTTGAGAAAAAAACAGGTGAATAGGAAATTGGGTTCATTTTAGCTGAGAAGATAATTAGACAATTGATTTTAAAGATTTCGCTATTATATGTAATGTCATAAAGAAACTGGTCAGTATTGATGTTCACCTTTAGCTTGGTAGCTGATGGACTTTATGGCTCTTGAAAACATTGCCTAGACCAGTGGTCGGCAAACTGCGGCTCGCGAGCCACATGAGGCTCTTTGGCCCCTTGAGTGTGGCTCTTCCACAAAATATCACGTGCAGGCGCGCACGTACAGTGCGATTGAAACTTAATGGCCCATGCGCAGAAGTCGGTATTTTGTGGAAGAGCCACATTCAAGGGGCCAAAGAGCCGCATGTGGCTCGCGAGCCGCAATTTGCCAACCACTGGCCTAGACTGTTAGAATTAGAAAGCTCCTTTGAGATAAAAACTAGTGTGCTTCCCCCCTTGTTTGTTTTACTTCTTAAACTGTTTTTAAATAGACTTACAATTACTGAAAAGTTACCTTCATTTTTAAAAGTTACCTTATTAAGGTTCACTGTCCCAAGATAGTTTATCAAGGCCTTTCTCCTGAATTCCATTGCTCATTTGACTGGCCCTGCAGTGGGAGTCGGTGATACTTGCTGGTTTGTTAGGATAAGTTCTATACTCTCATCCTGCAGTCTTTTGAGTGCCCCCATGTACTCAGCAATAAAGATAGGTCCCTATTTTCAGAGCACTTGTCGTCTTAAGAAGATAAATATACCAAACTGTTGTGTGTTCTGATGTGATGAAAGGCACAAGCAGGTTCCCAAGGAGGGGTTAGAGGATGGAATGGGCTTTTTGGACAATGTTTGATAAGTTAGTGATAAGCAGTATGGTGCATGGTGGAACTGGTAGCTGAAAAAATTTCTCTTCTGAATGTCAAAATCTAGGGAAAGACTACGTCTTGGTAAATTTTACTCTTTGGAAAAACCATAATTCGGGTTATCACCAGTGAAAACAGGACAGGTTCTCTCTGTTCGTTCTCTTTCCAGATACCCCAGGTTACTGTTGAGTGAGCATTCCACATGTCCTCACATGCCGCAATCTTCCAGGCAATTACTAACCATGGCTGGTACGTGGTGATGCACACTACCAATACCAAGCCTTTTTTTCTCTTCCACAGGTGGCTGGTGAAGGTGCTGATCACCACAGGTGTGTACCTACTGCTAGGGTCTACCATGGGGTCTTAGAGTTTACCCAGCAAGAGGGACCTACACAAAATATTGAGGCTGCCCTGATGGCATCTCTCAGAGGGTAACTTTGCAGTTGGATGTCCTTGTGCATAATAATAATGCATACCCATCTGCCTGTATATTAAATGGTCTGAGGCAGGAATCAACTTGTCTTATTTTCTTCCACAGAAAGTGGAAAATATGAATGATTTGTTTTTAAGCTGAAAGAGTCTGTAGCTTAAAAACTTTATCTTCAAATTCTCCCTTGAAATTTTGTATATTCCAGGTATATTAACTGAATGATCAGGTCCTGGAGAAAGCCCCCCACCCCTTTTTTTAATGTAATATGAGGCAAGACAAACACTGAGTAGTCTGAATATAAAATAAGAATGAGGGGCGCTTAAATCATCTGGATGGTCCCTCACCTTAGCCTTTCGAGTGGGCTGCTTGTTGAGCCTCAGATACTTAGCAGGGGGAAGAAGAATAAAGCATCCTCTGTTGGGATGCTTCAGCCATGCTCAGACAGGTCAAAGTCCTATTTAATTGAGGTAAAGGTGCATTCTTATACCCTAATGAATTCTTCACTGAGGGATGAACAGGTTCTATATGAAGCTTGCAACCCTTGGATAAAGGCAATTTGGATGTTTATCGTTTGTAGTAATTTGCCTTGATTGAAGCTTGATTTTGTTCTGAACTCCAACTTTTAACCGATAGCCTCAAGATACAAGGGCTACTAATCTGTTGCAGGTCCTCCTTCCCATAAAATGGAAAAGGTAGAGGTTACAGTGTGCTTAATACTCACAGGGTAATGGATATGTTGAGAAAATGTGATGTTAAGCAGGTTTCAGGTATTATTAGTCCTTGCTCTACCGCTTGTTGAATTGCCCAGCAAATGTTGAATTGCCACATTTAAGTCCACTGAGCAACTCTATTTCATATCTGAGCAGTGGGGCCTTGGGTCGGAGGGAAGATAAGGACCCAGGTAGCTCTCCTTCCTCCCTTCCTCCATTCTCTGTTAAAAGTTGTATGGTCTCTTCTCTGGAAGCCCCCTTTTCCTCATGATGGAAGGAAGGACCGGAAATCCTGGCTAGTTTGAGCCTTTTTGTTGTTTGACTTTAATTTGCTGTGGCACAACTTTTAAGGTATTAGATTTCAGTAATGAGAACGTGGGAAAGGACACAGTATTCATATAATGTTAAAATTAAGCAATTCTTGTTATTTTTGCACACCAGAAATTTCTGGTTCAAAAACCGCTGGCGTAAAGCCTCCAAGTTTGGTGTCGTGTGGAGACTGACTATGGTTTTGCTGTACACGATTAAGATATCCGTTTCAGGAACAACTGTGTCATTACTCATATTATGAATGTGAATAGTGCTGTCTTACAGCTCTTTATTTTAAAAGGTGTCCCCAAAGCATTTGGTATGTGTTGACAGTTATAACAAAATAAAATAAAACCAACTATCTGCTTGTCCACTGTTGCTGCTTATGATTTGGAAATTGAATCCTTACTCTGGATTCCTTGTGTAGCCATTAGATTACACCCATTGGGAACAATCTTTGATTCTTACCTTTCAGCCACCCAGTCAGTACTCACATGTATTATTAACTGAAGCAAAAAGTCTCACAAAACTACTTAATCCTTCCTTTGTGTGAGACAATTTCATAAATCACATTTATTTCTGCATATTTCTGTTTAAAAGTGCTGATTACAAACCCACCAAATTGATTTTATGTCCTGCTAATGGGTCAGAGCACTACTGCTGTAGATTACAGCAATAAAACATCTTCACTGGGCTTTCTTTTTTACTTAAATAAAGAACACTGATTCTGTTGAACTAATCCAGTAATCTTAGTTCAGCTGAACCACCTTAGGATCATTCGGAACCCAAACTGTGTCTTCGATTGTGGTTTGGTTGGATCAAACTTACTAGTATGTCATTGAACTCTGACCAAGGCTCAAATTAGGCAGAAAGGGTACTGTAGCTTCTTTTGCTAAGAGGAAGGTAGCCACTCCTAATGTAGTGCCTTGTTCACCAGTCATTCTGTCCCTTGTTTACCTGGTTTCTGTGGGAGGGACCGAAGGGATTGATAGAGAAAATTCAAATGTAAACTAGGAAAATCGCAACTCTTTAAAAAAAAAAAAAGGTCCCTTATTTAGTATTTATTAACGTGTATGCCAGATGTGTTAGATACACAAAAGCTGTTTTATGTTGTAGGGTAGAATGTATGGGAAATGGATGACCTTTTACAATGGGATGTGCATGGGAAACTTGAGGTTGCCTGTATACCTCAGGTCCACTGACTTCCTTGAGAAAATCATTAGTGTTTGTTTATCCAACTACATTTCATTAAGTGGAAAGCAAATCCTAATAGGATTGCTCATGACCACAGAGTAGTTGTATTTTTAAATAGTGAAAAACTAGAGAGGTCAAGGACTGACAGTATAAACAATTTCTCCTCCCTACTTCCTGGTTATCTAGTGTTTCAGAGAGGTTAAGGATGACAGTATAAACAATTTCCCGGTTATCTAGTGTTCTTACATCATTCCTATTGGGACATACTAGGGTTCTCAGTTTCCAGCCCTAGAATGACTTAGTCTCATGAAGGCTTAAGTAATCTGTTTTATTCGTTAGGTCTTGTGTTCCCACATAAGCTTCATTTGGAAGAAGGTGGGCATCTTTCCTGGTTATAAGGAGTATCTTTTAAGAATAGCTTGTGATTGGCATCTGGCACAAATAAGTTTAGCTTTAATATATATAAGCATTGTATTCAAAACTTCTTCATGCCACTGACTCTCTTGCTTTGTCCTCTTGCATTTTTCCAGCTAATGTCTCAAGAAACTATTAGTTTTCAGAGGTATTAGAAGTGGGCGTATCTACTCAATGTATTTCGGCATTTAAGTATACCTGTAGGCTCTTAAGACGCTCAATTATCTTTTGCATCATCCTGTGCTGTTTGTCACATGACTGTGTGGTGACTACACATAGAAGTGCCTTGGAAGGTTTCTGAAGAGAAAACTTAGTGTGTCTCATTTGGCTGTGTAATTAATAACTTATTAGCTAACCAGCTCCTTTCTTTTTCCTCTTTCAGATGAGTTTGATGCCTACATCATTGTGTCTTTCGTGAATGCCACACTTGTGTTGTCTATCGGAGAGACTGTGGAAGAAGTGACTGACTCTGGGTTCCTGGGCACCACTCCCACCTTGTCCTGCTCCTTGTTAGGAGATGATGCCTTGGTGCAGGTGAGGGTTCTCAGAGAGCCACCTTACTTGCTTCTGTCTTTGCCCTCATTATGTAGGCTGCTGTATTTACCTTAATGAGCTTTAAATTTCTTTGAAGTAGACAGTGCAAGATATGAACTTTTTAAAAGCTGACCTTGCCAGTAGCCTATTAGCTCTTTTGTCATTGACTCAACTGGTGCTTCAAATGCAGTGGCTCCAGATCTGACAGGCGTGACAGATCTGATAAGTGTGACACATGCTGAGCAATGTGTCAGATTGCTAAAGTCAGGTTTTCTTGTTACTCCAGGTGTATCCTGACGGCATTCGGCACATCCGAGCAGACAAGAGAGTCAATGAGTGGAAGACCCCTGGAAAGAAAACAATTGTGAAATGTGCAGTGAACCAGCGACAAGTAGTAATTGCCCTGACAGGAGGAGAGCTGGTCTATTTTGAGATGGATCCCGTATGTTATTTTATTATTTACTGTGGGACTTGTGTAGGGTCCAGAAGTAGAGATGGGAGTTGTAGTCCAGGTATCTAGGTTATATTCACAAGAAAGAGAATTGAGGGAAAGTGTCCACAAGCCCATTTGGCACTTTATGGGGGAGTAGGAGGTGGGTAAGGTCATGTCTTAATTCTCATTGGAGTTATGAAACCCCATCTTATGAATGAAACACTTGCTTCTCCTGCCCTTCACACTCTATTTTTCCACCAAATATTTGCCATAGTTTTCAGTCTTAGAATCTCAAGTAGAGAAATGCTTGATCATTGATTATAGTAAGAGGAGTGAGAGGAAGCAAAAAGGAACTTAAAAGGCCTCCTCCAGTTTCTGAGTCCATGGTTGGGGGTGAGTTGGAGTGGTTTGTGACTGCTCTTGTCTTCACTCCTATAGTCAGGACAGCTGAACGAGTACACAGAGCGGAAGGAGATGTCAGCAGATGTGGTGTGCATGAGTCTGGCCAATGTGCCTCCTGGAGAGCAGCGGTCTCGCTTCCTGGCTGTGGGACTGGTAGACAACACTGTCAGAATCATCTCCCTGGACCCCTCAGTGAGTGTCACCCTCCACTTCAAGAATCTTCCAGTTGGAACCTGAGCACCTGGCCCACTCCTGGTGGCTGTCTCTGAGATCAGCTGTGCTGAACCCTGAACTCTGTTGCTTCTGGATATCGCAGTGGCACATTTCAGAAGTCGTCTGCAGTGCTTTAAAGATGCTAATCTGAGACTGCTCACCACTTCTTCGGCTAAACCCTTGACTCTCTTTTATAGTTTTAAAAAAAAAAATCCCAAGAATGTTTTCACAGAAAAGGACTTGGGCTGGCTCCAGGGCCTTAGATGACTTTTAGGGGAAGTGACCTTTGCTTATGTACTTTAACCCCATTATCCACTTTGACAAAAAGAGGAAAGCATGATCCTCTGCAGAGCTTATTTTAAGATTCAATTTAGCTAGTAATCCACTTCCCCTTTGGAACTCACTCCTCAGATTGTTCTTTACTCCTAGAATTAGATTTCTCTGGGTAGGTTTTTCCCAAAATTAGTCATTTCTCATGTTTTCTCTTTCTCCCATAGGACTGTTTGCAACCTCTGAGCATGCAGGCTCTCCCAGCCCAGCCTGAATCCTTGTGTATCGTGGAAATGGGTGGGACGGAGAAGCAGGATGAGTTGGGTGAGAGGGGCTCTATTGGCTTCCTATACCTGAATATTGGGCTCCAGGTAAGAAATCCAGAGGGCGCATATTGTTGGTGTCGGGTCTCCTTTAGGTTTCATGCACTCTTTTGTTCAATATGGGAATTTTCTGTGCCCATGGTTTCAGTTACCATTCAGTGAATGGTGCTGCTCTGTGTTTCCACTGTTCTCAGCTCTAATCCTATATAATAAAAGGCTAATGTGCAAATCGAACGGCCGAAAGACCTGTCGCTATGACATGCACTGACCACCAGGGGGCAGACGCTCAACGCAGGAGCTGCCCCCTGGTGGTCAGTTCACTCCCACAGGGGGAGTGCTGCTCAGCCAGAACCCGGGCTCATGGCTGGCAGCTGTGCAGCGGTGGTGTTGGGAGCCTCTCCCGCCTCTTTGGCTAAAAAAAACTCCCAGACTGCAAGAGGGCGCAGGCTGGGCTGAGGGACCCCTCCACCTCCCACCGAGTGCATGAATTCCGTGCACCAGGCCTCTAGTTAGAACAAATAAGGATTAGAGAAAAGTATTTTCATAAAGAGTATTTGATAAAAATGCTTTGCGTTCACTACTCTGGGTCAAAACTAGGTGGAGTCATCAAGATTCACCTGTATTCGGCTTTTAAAACTACCTCACAGTTCATAAAGGGGTCCACTAGCAATAAAGGACTCCTAAGTGTTCCCTGTTATCAAAGCAGCTGAGCTCTTCCTGGCATGAAAAGCAGGAATTTAAGGATCAGATAGTGTCAGGGGGTTTTTTTTGTTTGTTTTAATCCTCACCTGAGAATATGTTTCCATTGGTTCTAGAGAGAGAGGAAAGAGGGAGGCAGGAAGAGAGAGAGAGAAAGAAAGAGAGAGGGAAACATAGAACAATTGCCTTCCATGCTTACCCTGATTGAAGATAAAATCCCCAACCTGGGTATGTGCCCTGGCTGGGAATGGAACCTGTGACCTTCCAGAGCAGCGGTCACCAATCTTTTGGACCTCACGGACCACCAGTTGGCGACTGCTGTTCCAGAGAATAGGACGACGCTCCAACCAACTGAGCCACACCAGCCAGGGCAGTGTCAGGTTTTTTGACCATATACTTTTCATTTTCCTTAATGATTATTTACTTAAACACGTAAATAATCTAGCCCAGGTACTTTTTGCTTTTTAGTTTTACTTCCTAATTTAGAAATTGTCAAACATGGATGAAGTTAGACTAATGACCCTCCATGTACCCATAGAGTTTTAACAGTTATCATCTTTGGGTTTTCTTGTTTTATCTATTCATCCTCTTTTTTTGGGGTGGGGAGGAGGTATTTTAAAGCATATCCAACAGTAATTCCTTAATGTCATCTTCTGCCTTGTCCACGTTCCAATTTTTCTTTTTTTCTCCAAAAATGTCTTTATATTTGGTTCTGTTCAGGATCTACATAAAGCTGTGCAAAGTTTGTATTTGCTTGATCTATATTTTTATGTTTCTTTTCATAATTGCCCCATCCTTATTTTTATATTTTAGGAAACCAGATCATTTGTTTTATAGAAATTCCCACCTTCTGGATTTTCCAGTCATTCTTGTGTATTTAATGTTCTTCTATCCCATTTCCTGCAAAGTAATGGGTAGATCCTAGACCAGTGATGGCGAACTTTTGAGCTTGGCGTGTCAGCATTTTGAAAAACCTTAACTTAACTCTGGTGCCGTGTCACATATAGAACTTTTTTGATATTTGCAACCATAGTAAAACAAAGATTTATATTTTTGATGTTTATTTTATATATTTAAATGCCATTTAACAAAGAAAAATCAACCAAAAAAATGAGTTCGCGTGTCACCTCTGACACACGTGTCATAGGTTCGCCATCACTGTCCTAGACCATGCTGTTTATTAAAAATACAATATAAGCTTCTTATGTAACACAACTTTTCCAATAGCTACCAAAAAAGGAACAGATGAAGTTAATTTTAATGTCTTGTTTAATTCAACATATTTAAAATATTTCCATTTGTAACCAATATAAAAATTAATAAGATTGTATATTCTTTCTTTTTTATTATTTTGGACTAAGTCTTTGAAATCTGGAATTTAGTCTTGTACACTTAGCACAACTCAAGTTGGACTAGCCTCATGTGGCTTGCTGACTATAGTATTGGATAGCACCGATCAGGGGTTGATTAGATTTGGATTTCATTTGTGTGTGGGAGGGGAGAGAATATTTTATAGGTGGTTCTGTTTACTCCTATTATGTCATATCAGGAGGCCGTGACATCTGATTGTCCCACTATGAGTGATGTGAGAATGCTTGTATTTATTTTAAATTATTTGTTTAGAAGCCCCCCATCAACAGCCTTTGATACACATTGCCTCGATTTGTTGATTTCAGTAGGGTTGGGAAATGATGATTTTCTATTTCATACTTTAATTAGCTGGAATTTTTCTCTAAAGACACTTTGCTCACCCTGAAATACAGTTCATATAGGGAAAGAATAAATATTTAATTTTTTTTTCTTTGTTCATCCAATTTCCAGAGTAAGGAGTTGGTGCCATAATAATATTGAAGACTGATGAAGTGGGGTTTTATAAAATAACATATGAACTTGCAGACTTTTATATATTTGTGCTTCAAACTACTGCAATCTTTTTTTTTTTCTTCCTTGGATGCTAAATAACCTCATTTTAAATGAATGGGAGTTCCCATTTGAAGTTGGCTCTTTTGTCTTTTTAACATGACCCCACATCCTGGAATATTCTTGCTGTAGACCTGAATGAGCTGTTTTCTTAGGAGTCTTATTATTTTTAGGGGAAATGGTATTTTTAACTGCATATATTTTGAAATTATAAAGAATTTAGTGTACATGCTAAAAAAATTTTAAGGATATGCAGTGAAAAATAAGTGTGCTTTTCACTTAGTATGTGCTCAGTAACTACTTGAGCGAGTGATTTAGTGAGAGAATGAATGAATGGTTTGTTGGTTGATTATTAGGATGTTCTTTAAACCAAGTCATTTCCTTCCATCTGCTTTGAATTTATTAATATAAAGTGGCCAAGGGAACTTTTCATCATGGGTAGGCTTAACCCACTCCTCTCCTTTTTTAGAACGGTGTGCTGCTGAGAACTGTCCTGGACCCTGTCACTGGGGATCTGTCTGACACCCGCACTAGGTACCTGGGGTCCCGTCCTGTGAAACTCTTCCGTGTTCGGATGCAAGGCCAGGAGGCAGTAAGTAATGAAAGGGTCAGGCAGCATGTTTGGATGTTAGTAGCATCAGTAAGATAAATCCCTTGGTGTAAGCTGTACTTTCATTAATTTACCAGTACATAGTTAGTTTGACATTAGCTCTATCTTGGTTATTTTATTTTATGTTGGAAATCTAGGGTCCCTTAATCCAGAGCTTCTTAACGGTTCCATGGCACTGTGTCATGATTTGGTTATGTTGATCCCTTCAGCCCTCAGGCTGGGCAAATTGAGCAGAGTGAGCGTTAGCTGGATGAATACTTCCCATCTAGGGTACCACTTACCCATGAGCAGCCTTGTATCAGTGTCATAGTTTACCATGTAATGTAAAAGAGGTCCTTTATAGCTGAGAATATCAGTACTTCTGGTACTGTGCTGTCCTTGTTACTGCATTTAATCCTTGCAACTATCCAGCCTTGTGATAGTATTTCCATTTTATACACATGGAAACAGGCTCAGAGAGATTGAGTGATTCCATACTTTCAACAAATAGTAAGCCATCCTGCCTCTTCTCTAGGCCTTTTTTAAATTACTCTTTATTGATTAAGGTATTACATATGTGTCCTTATTCCCTCCATTTCTCTCCCCCCCCCTCCCCATTTGTGCCCTCACCCCCCTAGTGTCTGTGTCCATTGGTTATGCTTATATGTATGCATACAAGTCCTTTGGTTGATCTCTTACTTCCTCCCCTCCCATCCACCTGCCTTCCCTCTGAGGTTGGATGGTCTGTTCGATGCTTCTCTGTCTCTGGATCTGTTTTTGTTCACCACTTTATGTTGTTCATTATATTCCACAAATGAATGAGATCATGTGATAGTTATCTTTCTCTGACTGGCTTATTTCGCTTAGCATAATGCTGCCCAGGCCCATCCATGCTGTTGGGAATGGTAGGCGTTCCTTCTTACGGCAGTGTAGATGTGCCACAGTTTTTTTAATCCACTCATCTGCTGATGGGCACTTAGGCTGTTAGGCCTCTTTTTCTTAAGGTAACTTTAGGTTTCTAAAATTCATTTGGATATTCTGCCGTCTAAAATTTGGGCATAGGGTGTTTGCTCAGCGTACTATGTTTGAGTTCTTCCCAAGCTTACTCGGTGTTTTTTTCCTTCCTCAGGTGTTGGCCATGTCAAGCCGCTCATGGTTGAGCTATTCTTACCAATCTCGTTTCCATCTCACCCCCCTATCTTATGAGACACTGGAATTTGCATCTGGCTTCGCCTCTGAACAGTGTCCCGAAGGCATTGTGGCCATCTCCACCAACACCCTGAGGTGAGAGAGTCTCACAGTTGAAGCCCAGTGGGGAGCCTTCTCCCCAGGGCTTGGACTCTACTTTTGCCAACGTGTTGGAAAAAGTTATGAAGAGATGGCAAAAGAGCCAACTAGTATGTTGCAATTGAAACCTTCATTTGGCTCAGGATTTAGGAACCTAGTAGCCAAGTTTCGGTGTTTGGAGTTTTAGCTTCTGATTAGACTTTTAGGGCCAAGTTTTAAAACTTTTGTAGTACAGTTCAGTCTTCTTGTTTTCTAGGCAGTGCCATTGGGTTAGTGTTAGAGCAGGATCACTCATAACCTTTTCTCACTCTCTCTTGTCATTTGCATTGTTACAGCTTAAATTTTAACCTCAATATAAATTATTTAGGCCTTTTACAAGTTGACAGACTATAGTTTATGCTGATAATGTTGGAGTGAGTACTATTTATATTGCAGGCTGGGAAATAACCTGTTCAGTTTGACTTAAGTTTTAGGTTTTTTGTTTTTTATTTAACCTTTATTAATGCCACCCATGTTGTTGGTGTCCTGGTTATAACTATTGGCTGTTCACAATGGATTCATGGGTTTCATAAAGCTTAGGTTCAGGAGGCCATTTATTTTATGAAACACCATCAGCACAAATACCACGTATCTTCAGGTAATTGCAGTGCTTCACAATAATTTTGGAATTGGTGCTCTTTATTTCAGGGTTTGTTGGTAATAAAAAAGAAATTTTAACTTCTCATCACTGGAGTGATAAAAAAATTTCACATGAGGGTTCTAATATGAGTTTCACTGGTGAAAACTAGAATTGTCATGATACAGTGCTAGGCTGTTGCCAAAGTGGAGAGCCCTTCCCTATCTTGTCTCCTGCACAGAATCTTCCAGATGAGAAGTCTGTTATTGCATGTTGTCTAATGCCAGCATTAGAGCTTTAGGGATTGATATGTTTGCTGTGACCACTCACTGACCATTTCAACACCAGTTTGTAGGTTCTGAGTGAGTGGCCTATTAACTCCCTTTCTTTTTGACGTAGGATTTTGGCATTGGAGAAGCTAGGTGCTGTCTTTAATCAAGTAGCCTTTCCACTGCAGTACACACCCAGGAAATTTGTCATTCACCCTGAGAGTAACAACCTTATCATCATCGAGACTGACCACAATGCCTACACTGAGGCCACGAAAGCTCAGAGGAAGCAGCAGATGGCAGAGGTAATGAGACTGACCTTTAGTGTTCAATTTTACCATTTGTACGCCATAAGCTTCTATAGATGCAAGCGCCAGACCTTTTTTAATTAAATTCAAAATATTGTGGCAGTTAACTGGTTAAAGGTGTTTGTGTGAAACTGTTGAAAAGTTTAAACTCCTGTAATTGTTGATTATTCTTTGTTATATATGTGTGTGTGTGTGTGTGTGTGTGTAAAACAAAGAATAATCAACTATATCAACAATATATATATATATATATATATATATATATAGAGAGAGAGAGAGAGAGAGAGAT